TTGTTATGGACTGACTTGTGTCCCCCTCCATGGGTGGGGGGGCTTCCCTGGTGGCTCAGACCATAAAGAATCTGCCTGCAGTGTGGGAGACCTGGGATCGATCCCTGGGTTGGGAAGATCTCCTGGAGAAAGGAATGGCAATTCACTCTAGTATATTGCCTGGAGAATTCCATGGACAGAGGAGCCTGGTGGGCTACAGTTCATGGGGTCACAGAGTTGGGACACGACTGAGTGGCTAACACTTTTACTTTCTGTGCCCCCAATTCATACACTGAAGCCCTAAACTCTAATGTGACTGTTATGTGGAGGAAGGAAGTAAATAAGGTTAAATGAGGATATATGGTTGGGGCCCTAATCTGATACGATTAGTGTACTTATAAGAAGAGACACCAGAGACACTTGCTCCTGCCACCATGTGAGTACACAACTAGAAGGCGGATATTTGAGAGCCAGGAGGAGAGTCCTCACTGGAATCTGACCATGCTGGCACCTTGATTTTCGACCTCAAGCTTCCAGAAAATATCTAAATGTTATTTAAGCCACCCAATTTATGGCATTTTATTTTGGCAGCATGAAGAGACTAACATAATGAACAAATTGTGTTGTACCTACACAATGGTATACTGCTTATCAACAAAAAGCAATGAACTATTGTTGCACATAGTGACATAAATGAATCTCAAAATAATTATGCTGAGTGAAAGAAGCCTGCCCCCATCCTCTATGGAAAAAAAAAAAGGAGCACACATTGTATGATTACAGTTATATGAAACTCTAGAAAATATAAACAAATCTATGGTGATAGAAAGCATATCTGTGTTGGCTTGCAGTTGGGGAGGGGTGGATGGCAGGGATGGGAGAGAGGTATTACAGTTGGGTATGAGAAATCTTTTGAGGGTGACAGATACACTTACTATCTTGATCAGTGTGATGGCTTCATGGGTATGGACATAATGTCAAAACTTCTTAAATTGTATACTTTACCTGTAGTTGACTGTATATATTAATTATACCTCCATAAAAATATACTGAATGCCTGTTATATATCAGATATTTTGCTGACCATTTTCATGAAATATTTATTTCTGACAGTACTGTGTGGTCAGGATAAAACTGGATTTCAGAGATGTTATACCTATATAACAAGAATGTTTTTTGAGGAGAGGGATGGAAGAGAGAAAAGAAATGGTGAATGAAATCCAAAGTGATTCTTGGAATAGAGGAAAGAGGCAAAGTGGAAAAAAGGGAAAGACAATATGACTGACTGCATTTCCCAGTAATGGGCACATTACTTTTTCTTACAATGTATCTTGATACTTTTTCCATTGAGAGGTGAAGTCTATGTTCCCTCTTCTTCATTATGGAGAAGCTCGTGACCACTCTAGAAGCGGTATTATGTGACTTCTGAAATTATATAAGGTGATTCAGCTTCTGCCCAGTTTTCTTGTGATGTTCATTCTTGGAACCTACCCCCATGATGTGAGACGCCCAAGCAGCTCGAACGAAGTCCTGCTGAAGCTCCATCTGAGGTCTTCATTGCTATCAATGAAGCAGCCACCAGACATGGAGGGGAGTGAGCATTTGGATGAGTTGAGCCCTAGCCATGGAGTCGCCTCAGCTAAGGTCCTGATGTGAAGAGGTGTCACTAACATATCCTTCCAGAATTCCCAGCTGATCCACAGCATCTGCGAGCACAGTAATTGTTTTATCCCACTGAGTGTCTTTCCATGCAGCAGTGGTAGCGAAACAGTCGGCATGAAGAAAGAGAAGTGAAAATAATGAAAGCTAGTATCCGATCTTCCCGAGAAGTAAGAAAAGACTCAGAGGTAGTTTCACTAGCTTTTTCAGTGAAGTGCCCTAAAGTTTTTGGGGATGGTAAGCAGCCCTTTTTACCATAGGTACCAGGAAGGTGACCACCGCAGTTAAAAGCCTGGAGTGTAAGAAACAGCCTCATCATCAGTTATCTGGCAGTCCTTACAAATAGAGAGTATGGACCAAACACACGGGGTAGGATTTACAAGTCTCCTATCCCAGGAGGAAAGATTTAAGAAAAATTCTGGTTTTGGTTGACGTTGTACTATAATTTAGTACTTACAATTTTTGCACAACAGGTACACGAGACAGATACGTCTCATTAGTAGATCATTTTACAAAGAAGTTTCCTTGATTTAATTTTTTCCACTCTCTATACCAGAACCTTGACCCTTAGGATCATGCAGAAGTCTCTCAAATCGAGGTATTTACACATGAAAGTATCTTGAAAGTTCTTTAATTGTTATGAAGATGACAAGTGGATTTGAGAATGAGTCCATCTGCAAAAAGAACTTCTTGCAAAGTGCATTCCAGGTTCATGTAGTTCAGGCACTAGAAAGGAAATACTGGGGATTCTGACATCAAGATTTAGTTCTGGATCACCAGTAAACTCGTAACAACTTAGTCAGTGTGCCTATTCTGATTTTTACTTGTCTGAATTTTGTTTTCAGGATTTATAGACTCTTCCTTGTGTAAACTACTCCCTTCTTTGTCTTTACTATTTGCCATGTTGGGATATTCTGCTTTTTCTGTTCTAATTTTTTATTTTATATTGGGGTACAGCCAATAAACAATGTTGTGAGTTTCACATGAACAGCAAAGGGACTCAGCATTAGGTATACATGTATCCATTCTTCCCCAGACTCCCCTCCCATCCAGGTTTCCATATAATATTGAGCAGAGTTCCATGTGCTATATAGAGGGTCCTGGTTATTCTGCTTTTTAGAAATATTTTTCTTTTTCGTATGTATTCATTTGGCCGCACGTGGCCTCAGTCGCAGCATGTGGGATGTGGAGTCTTTTGTTCTGGTGCACAGACTCTCTAGCTGTGGCAAGCAGGCTTAGTTGCTCTGTGACATGTGGGGTCTTAGTTCCCCAACTAGGGATCCTACAGGCATCCCCCGAATTGCAAGATTCTTAACCAATGGCCCACCAGGAAAGTCCCTATCCTGCTTCTCTGATTCAGCAAATTCATTGCTAAACTTGATCTTTGCTGGGTGCTTGTTCAGAATACAGTCTTGTCAACTGATTTCCATAGATGCTCCTTTTCCCTCTAGCATGTAAATTAAAGGCTAGCTGCTTTACCTGTTAACAGAGAACTGGCTGGATCTCTTTACAGCTCTCTTGCTTAACCTGATGACACTGCATTCTGCCTGGTTGTGATGGTGTTTTATTTTGAGAGGAACCAGTATTCGTGGTAAACTGCGGCAGTGGAAAGGGAACTCCAAAACTCATCTGGAGGGAAGAGTCTCCTTCAGCTTAGAGTGTGAGCTGAGACAGATCTCCTGTCCTGTGGTGCTCCGACACTTCCTATATCACACCATTAAACATCCTCCCAGGAAGCAGGAGCCCCAGGAGCTTCTGCTTCCTCACTTCGTGCCCAGTATCACAGCAGACCACTTTTGCAGGAATGTGGGGCATGCTAACCCCCTGTGGTGAGACAGCTGTTCTGTTTTTAAAACACGCAACACAGAGTGAAATGGTCAAACGATTATCCTCAGGGCTCGTGATAGAAAAGAATGTAATAGCGGTTAATTTGCCTATATTCACATAACTAGTATGTTGCAAAGCCTTGTTTGGACTCAAACTCTTGCTTTTTCTTTGCTAAGTTTAATTTATTTTTACATCACACTTTACCCTCAAAGAGGACGTATAAGACCTGCCTTTCATGGAGGAAAGGGTCAGTACGCTGAAGGCTGACATAAGAATTTGCCTTAGTGGTGGTATTGTGCAGTCGCTAAGTCAGGTCTAACTCTTGTGACCCCATGGACTGTAGCATGTCAGGGTCCTCGGTTCTCCACGAGCCCTCAGAGTTTGCTCAGACTCACGTCTACTGAGTTGGTGATGCTCACAGTCTTAGTGCACCACATGGTAAAGAACGAAGCACGGCCTGCTGGCTCCCAGACTCTAATTAACCTTTTTACAGTTTTCTGCCAAACTGTCCTTTTTCCTGCACAACATGACTCTACTGATGGAGTGGGCACCAGTACAAGTGGACTGACAATCTAACATTCATATATTTGAGAAAGAGAGACGATACACCAGATGCTCTCAAAGTGGGGTCCCTGCCTGGACCCGCAGCACCAGTGTGACTCGAAGAGCTTATGACAAATGCAAAATGCGGGACTTCCCTGGCGGGAAGACTCCCCAGTGGTTAAGACTCAGTGCTTCTATTGCAGGGAGCACCGGTTCAATCCCTGGTAGGGGAACTAAGATCCTGCGTGCCATGTGGCCATAAATAGCTAGCTTAAAAAATGCAGATTTCCCCAGATCTACTGAATGAGAAACTCTGTGAGCAAAGACCCAACAAGCTACAGTTTAACAAGCGATTATGCTCCAGATGACCCTGACACACACAAAAGTTGAGAACGTAGAACGAAGACACTCAGAAAACTATTTTCATTCACAATTTGTTCCCAATGGTGAGGATAATTGTGTAAAATATCCTTGAATAATAGGATGTCAAAGAAAGAGATCCCTTTCATCATGTACCCACTTAGCGCTTACTGTGTACCCCCTGTTAGGGAACATATATAAATATGGCTCCAGCCTTCTTTGAGCCCATCCAGTATCGACAAGATGTACATATTTGTTATGTATTTTTGGTAGATATTTGATTTGCCAACAAAACAGAGATGAAAATAGTGTCTCTGGTGGCTACGTGCAATACCCTCTCAGGAGATGAAAAAATATGGGCCAAACTCAGCACTGTGTTGTCGCTGTTATCAAACCATCCTTTGGTCTTTTAACAGATGGAGAAATGAAGGCCTTTCATGAAAATCTTAACAAGGTCACAGTTTAAACCATACATTCATTTGATCAATGACTAAAACAGAATGCACAGCCTCATACTTCAGTGCTTTGGCCTTTGCCTTATGAATCAGCTCTAGTCCCAAGAACCTCAGACTAGGTCAGGATCACAAAACCACCTCTTACCTGCTCAGCAATTAAACAAATGTGCAACAGACTTTCCCGTCTATTTAACTTCTATTAAAAGAAGTGCTAAAGGTACTGAGATACAGTACATCATATTTATTACCAAAATTATTAACAAATATACAAAACTTATACATGTAATTTTCTTACATCCATTTACTCTCTATAATACTGATTTGTGTTCAAGTAGGTTATCTACAGTATGTAAACATCCCTTGGATTGACCTCACACAGATTAGGAAAGCCCACTAACCCATGCTTTTATCAGATACTTCTTTTTATTTGGCTTTCATTTCGTAGCATCTAATCGTCACATTTGGCACATGGAAGAGACATCTACAGTGCAAAAGAGGCAGATTTTCTGGTCTCCTTCCCAACAGTTTTGCAGGGGCACAGTTAAAGAGCTGAGGGAACAAGAATGCTCTAACTCGATGGAGGTGGTTTGGCTGTGACGCCGACAACTCTAGGTTCAGCCATTCAACTTGAGCTTAAAGTCAATGCCTCTTCCTTCTCCCACCCCCCATCCCCCCCCATGCAATGCCAATTAGGCCTTAGCCTGGTCTTAAAAGGATGGAAAGAGATTCCATCCAGCCCAGAACAAGTGAGGTTAATCTCACCGAGGAATCACTTTCAGTGTTCTTTTGTGTGGGTTGGTTTGTGCAGGGTGATGCACCCGCCAAATCCTTAAATGGAGAGAACAGAACATAACTTTTTAAAAAAGCCCCCAAACAGATAGAAGATTAGAACAGTTTTCAACGGTCACCTCTGCACTGAAAAGCTCAGCATCTCTGAAGTGGCAATGAAGACAAACGCCTTCGTGAATGGCAGAGACAAGCCAAACCCGCCATACGTAACCTCAGACTCCACACCTTGGGATACAGGATCAGAAAAATTTTTAAATAAAATAAAATAAAGGTCGTTGGCGGTTCTGCCCCCCTCTTCCTGTGTTTCCTTTTGAGGATGTAGCTTAACCTCACCGAGTAAAGCTGATCCAGAGAGAGCTCCGCGCGCCCCCGGCCGCGCTGGCCCGCACGCCACCGCTCCCGTGGACGGGGCGCTCTTCTGCGAAGCCGCCGCCCAGACCGGCCAATTTTGGCCGCGCGCCCGCCTCCCGGCTTCCGTCACCATAGGGGCGCGGGCCCCTCCGACGCCCCGTAGAGCTCCGCCAGCTTCCGGAAGCGGGGCCCCCAGTCCGTGAGGAAGTCGAAGCTCTGCTCTGAGTCCGATGTGGCCGACTGCAGGGAGCTGAGCGAGCCGGCGACCGAGCCGTCGCCCTCGAACATGTAGGTCTGCAGGGAGTCGAAGGGCGGGGCCCACAGGTCCATGTCGGCCTCGTAGAGCTTGGCCAGCACGTAGCTGTGCACGGTGCTGCTGACGGCGCACGTCTGGGGCACGTAGCGCGAGAGGCTCTCGATCTCGGGCAGCATGTCCTGCCGCGTCTTGGGCGCGCCGGCCGCCTGCGCCTCGCGGGGATTCCACATGGCTGCGATGTCGAAGGCCTCGGTGTCCTCCTCGCCGCCGCCCTCGTCGTCGTAGCGCACGATGTTCTCGTGGATGTTCTCCTCGTCGTCGAGGATGTAGGGCTGCTTTCGGTGCCTCCGCAGGGAGAGGATGAGCAGCACCAGCACTGCGGGCACACAGAGGCCAGGTTGGCGGGGGAGCCGGGCCGAGCCCTCGGGTGGGGGTGCGGAGGCTCCTGGGGGTGGGGAGGGGGGTGGGGAGGCTCGTCTGCGGGGGCGAGGCGGGGTTTGGGCCTCGCCTCCCCGGCACCCCGGTCTCACTCTGCCTGCCGCGTCCAGTGGGGCGCTTGCTGGCAGCTGAACCTTACGTGGTAATGTAATTCCAGGTGGTTCAAGTAGACGTGAAAGTGATAGTTACTCAGTCACATAGGACTGTTGTGACCCCATGGACTGTAGCCCGCCAGGCCCCTTTGTCCATGGGATTCTCCATGCAAGGATACTGGAGTGGGGTGCCGTTCCCTTCTCCAGGGGATCTTCCCCACCCAGGGATTGAACCTGAGTCTCCTGTATTGGCAGGTGGGTTCTTTACCACCAGCACCCCCTGGTCTCTGTCTTACTGTATCGCAGTGAAATGCGTGTGGGTGTCTACACCCAACCACCCAAGTGTAATGTCTCATTAACCAGGCACAAAGCCCAGTGTCCCGCCATGGAGCATATGCTTAAAGATTAGGTGATGTCTTCTGACTAGGTAAGGATGCATACATATTTCTCTTATAGCAATGTGAAAACCTTATTCCGTAGATGAAATCCTGCTTTTTCTTTTTACATTGGCGTCTCTATAGGATTCTACTCTAAATATACTGTTGACCCTTGAGCAACATAGATTTGAACTACTGGAGTCCACTTCGATGTGCTTTTTTTTTTTCCGGTAAGTACATAGTACAGTACTTGGGCTTGGTTGCCGCAGATGCTGAAAGGTGGATACTGTGGGCCAACTGTTAAGTTATATACCACTGCAGGGCTGGTCTGCACCCCACACCCCACCCCACCATTGTCCAAGGGTCAGTTGCAATCATATGGTAATGCAAATGCACATAGACACATATGCTAAATATGAGCCAAAGTCTTTGTCTTTTCATGTTTTCTCCAAAAAATAAGAGTGCATAAATAACTGCCATTGTCTAGTTAACGCAGATTCTTCAGAAAAACCTTTTTTAGAGAGATGGTTGTGACTTTGCGGCTCTAAGGATGTTCATGGAAGAGAGGGAGTGAGCAGTAACATTTTATATGATTCATCATGTTATCAAAGAAGCGCCACACTGTTAGATGTGCCCTTGCAGGTTTGGATGAAATTTTATTGCAACAAAATTTTTTTTTTCCAGGGTATGTGTTCAATGGGGTTTAAAGGGGAGATAGAGATAAGCCCATCGAACTGTTTATCTCTCTGACTGAAAGTGTTTTCCAGGAAGTGTCTTGACGTTTTTGGCTGTAGAACCGCTATTGATTTTTTTTTTTTTTCCTGCCATGCTTTGTTACAGCTGGTGAACAGTGACAGCTTGACAACACTGCACAATAAGACCCCGGTTTATCCAAGGGAGGAAAGAGTCGTATGCCCATTAAGATTATGGCCTAACTTAAAGAAATCACAGTAATGGTTTTTAAAACCTGAATGTGGAATGTGAGTTGCAGTTAATAATGTTAATACATGACGTTTCCCTGTATAGCTTGGGTGACAAAATGCACACACAGGAAACAATTATAAACTCTTGTATGTTATCTCTGTGTGCAAAAATGTAACCCAGCCTACAGGACCCTGGGATTTTGGAGAAATAGGCTAATGGGACTTTAAGGAAGTGGTGGCTTGAAGTGGGCTGTGGTGGTTGGGGTGTGATTTGGATGGATGAATGCAGGTTGGAGAAATGGGACTGTAAGTGAACTTGTGTTTGTGGGATTTAGTGAGCAGTTACTAAACGGCAGTATTTGGGGGAATTATCTGAAGCAAAGGGGAAACAAAGTTGAGTAGGACATGATTTCTTTTTTTATAGGCTTGCAGTCTAAGGAGATGATAGGCGTTAATGATTGATATGAATCAGGCAGTGATAAGGACTGTCATAGAGCTGCAGAGTTTCAGAGAGAACACAGATGCAGGACCAGCGTGTTCTTCGTGTTGCACCTGGAAAACCTTCACACCAGTGACACTGGAGTGACAGGTGTGGGATTTCAGAAAATGCTGGGAAGCAAAATTAGAAAAGTCTTTAAGTTTCTACTGGGAAGAATTCTGGTATTGCGGAGACCCGGCTTCAATCCCTGGGTCAGGAAGATTCCCCCGGAGTCAGGAATGGCAGCCCACTCCAGAATTCTTGCCTGGAGAATCGCATGGACAGAGAAGCTTGGCAGGCTACACGCCATGGGGTCACAGAAAGTCAGACAGGACTGAGTGACTAAGACTGTCACTGATTTAAGGAATAAGTATTATATAATCCCCTAAAAATCAAATTTTGGGGAAAATGACCCTATTCAGCTGAAAGGCTTCCCTGACAGAAGAGAATTGGTTCTAGGGATGTTTATTATTTAGGATCTGTAGGCTCAATGCCTATGAGATAGGGCCTATGAGATTTTCTAGGGGCTAGATACATATTTGAGACATGAAAAAAAATATAGTCCAAATTAATATGTTTATATACTTGTCCACAAAATGTATTTTTTGACAGATCAGCTGCAATTTAGCCTTAGTTTTATGAATTATATTTAATGTGAAATGTGCACTTTTAGACAAAAGTGCCTAAGAGTATAAGGATTTTAGGACAGCTTTGCTCAGTTTAGGTACTGAAAACTGTCTGTTTATCACATACAATTCAAAAGACAAGTCATAATGGGCCACAGAATAAACTGCCCCTCGCATACCCCTTCTGACCTCGGCGCCTCCTGTGCATCTCTGAGTCAGTCTCTCTGTCATGGTGGTTCCTTCACTATTTGTGGGATAGAGTGAATTTGTAATGTAGACAGTTTCCAAAGATAGAGGTAAGGACAGCCAGACTGGAAATTTCTCCTAGGAGCAAGTTCTTCTGAGGCCTCTTGCAGGTTATCCTGTTAAAGGACTCCCATTGCCACCTTCTGGACACTCAGGGAATTGCAGGAGGGTTTTATTTGTCAGTGTAGAAAGGGACCAGAAACCTAAAGGTTCTCTGTGATCAGGGATTCAAGGACTTAGAAAGGTAACTTCTTTATCCTGTTATCTCCCTTCGCGTAGCACTGAGCTGAGACAACAAAAAGGAACCACGTGTTGTACTTTAAAATGTTTTTTTGAGAAGCATATTTAGCAGACCTACTAGAAATTCAGTCAAGCACTGACATTTTACAGTGAGACCTTTCTTTGGTCTGACTCAGTCTCTTGGTGTGAAGGTAAACTTAAGATCAGGGCTTAAATTCTAATTTAAATCCCCAATGCTTTACTCATTTCCCTTATAGAATGCTAGGATTTCTTCCAAATTGAATAAGAATACTGGTTTACTGAGTCTGCTTTTCTCTAAGCAAAATATGCATGCTATGAGTTAACTCCATCAGAAGAGGTGGGGGCTATGTGCAGATACTTCCTTGGTTTCAGGAGTCGGTTTAGGTGTTTTATGTTTGCTCTGGCGTGTGGATGTTGAGAATGATAGCACGAGTGGCCGTGGGTACAGGGGGCTGGGTGGCTGCTTTGCAGGCAGTGTGGCCTCCGACGAGGAAGAGCCCCTGCCGCCGCAGTGCCGCCCAGGGGCCTGTCGCCAGGCCGTCCTGTCGCAGCTGCGGAGGCACAGCGGTGCTGGTTAGAGGCCGCCGAGCCTGGGCGTGTGCTGACGCCCCGGACAGCGCATCCTCCCAGCTCTCCGTGTTGCTCAGTCTGTCACTTCTTTCAGATCTCTGCTCAGAGATTCTCTTGCCAGTGAGGTCTTCTCTGACTGCCTCACTTAAAATGACGCCCAGCTCCGTCTCCTCTTCTCCCAGCACTCCGTGTCCCTCCCTCCTTCTCTGTAGCACTTACCGCCTCCGGGAGCTGGGGGTGAACATTCGGGAGAAGGGTGGTACTGCTCAGATGCAGGGATATGCAGAGTGGGGCCTGCCTGCCTTTCAGTCCTGACTCTGCCCCTGAGATGTGGCTTGGGCCTGTCACTGCCTGTCGTTCCGTATCTGAGAGGAGGGCGTTAGGAGAGGTGATCATCACATCCTGTCCAAAATGACCACGTAGGTTTTGTGATGTCAGAATGACTTGCTTTGTTTTGAAGTAAGCCCTGTGAAGGCCGGGACATTTCTGTCTCACTAATCCCAGCGTCTAGGATGGCAGCCTGGCTCTGATAAATGCTTGATAAATATGTATGCGTTGATCTGGCCTTGAAGGCAGGGACAGTCTTCCCTCTCGTTCCTCTTTCCCAGCATTGCTCCGCCACCCTTGCAATCAGCCCAGTGTGGAAAACCAGTCCTGGCCGGCTGAGTTAGGATGCTGATGGGATGCTGTCTAGGGCAGCACGTGCAGGGCCCCAGTGTGGGGAGGAGCCGCTCACTCACCCAGGAGGACGAAGACGCAGGCCAGGATGGCAATGAGCGCGCCGCGGCTGAGGCTCACAGGGAGCATGTAGGCCTCGGGGCTGCAGGACAGCACGTGGCCCTCGTCGTCACAGCCGCACACCTGGATGGTCAGCGTGCCCGTGCTGCTCAGCACCGGCTGCCCACCGTCCGAGATCAGGATGGGCAGGTAGAAGACACTCTGGTCCTGCTGCCGGAAGCCAGACCTCCTGGTTAGGATCCGGGCGGTGTTATCTGGAGCAGACAGGGGTTCCAGGATTGGAAAGGGAAGAGGGAAAAGGAGAAGGGAATGGAAAGGAAGAACCGCCGAGAGAGTTAATTTCGTGAATTGGGGAAAGCAAGGGGCAGGAACCCGGTGGGGAAGGCAGGGAAGGGACAGCACTCCCTGGAGGAGGTCCGCTGCAGCCGCTCAGATTTGTCAGGGTCAGCAGTTGGGTTCAGAAACCAAGATTTTGGCTTGCTTCTAGGCAAAAAAACCCTGAGGCTTGGGAAAGAAACCCTTTTTGAGAGTCTGTCTTCCCCTTCGTGACATGAAGTGCCCAGGGCGAACTGTCAGGCCTCAGATCTAACTGAAATGTCCCTGGGAAAGCTCGACAGAAGTGAACCATCACTGGCGGCGTGTGGTCCCTGCTTGTTCCCTCTCAGCAGCTTTCCGAGGCCCCCGCTGCTGCTCTCGAGCCTCCAGGAGAGGAGTGCGGAGGAGCCCACGTGGCTCTGGCAGACTGCTGCTTTTTGCCTCTGCGGCTGGAATTCATGTCTTTGGCTGTTTTCTTTTATGCCTTTGAAATGCAGTCACCAGTTCCTGTACTTTCTGATGAACTTGCTCATTTAGCAGAAGCTTATTTGAAATCCCCAAATCATATGACACACCCTATTATTTCCCACTACTTGGTGGTCTGAGTTTAAGCAATTCATATGTATTTGGTGAAAACTCAATACTGGTTTTCTCCCCCAGTTTTAAAGAGGATTAGCCAGCTTGTTTGGTATGCTTTTACAAAGCTGGTGTGTGTGTGTGTGTATTTGTATTTGCTTAATGTAATGTTTTAGGATCTTTTATTTTTTAATCTATCTTCTCAAGGTTTCTTGAGTGGGTTTTTGCAAAGCTGGTGTCTTTTTTAGCAGAGGAGAAGTTTGAGATGTGGAAGGACATACAAACAGTGACTCTCAAAGCCAACATCAGCAATATGGAAGGTTCTCTGGATGCATTTCACATTTCACAGGGAGGAGTCTGGAACTTCACAAAAAATTCGGAGAGCCTAATCAAAGGAAATGTTATTAATATCAGTATCATTTCTTACATAAAAAGGATTATACTCTTCTCCGCTTTTGACTTTGGATACTTGCATATGATTCGCTTTTGGTGACGGGAATGAGCAAAGGTGATCCGTGTCACTTCCGGGCAGCAGCGTGTACCAGCTGGTGTGACTCTGGTGCTCTCTTGCCGTGGTGCAGTGTGTGAGAGCACATTAGACGGAGGGCCACGCGGCCTGGGCCGCCTGCACGCGACGGCTGTCCTGCCCCGCCAGGCCCGCACGCAGTCGGCTTTGTGTGAGCAAGAAATTAACTTGAGTTAAGCCGCTGAGATTTTGGTGTCCTTTGTTTGCACAGCCTAGCCAGCCTATTCTAACACGTTCTTCCTTAATTAATTTTCCATCTCTTCCTCCACCTGTTTTTTCATGAGACCAGTTGATTCTTGGGTGCGTATGTGCACGGCGTTTTAGACTTCACATGCAGCAGCTCATTTCCTCTTTAGCACCACTTGGTGAAATAATGGTAATCTCACCCTGTCACACTGGGAGAGTTAAGGCCTGGAGAGATCATGTAGTGGGGTCCAAGTCACTGGTTTACTAACAGAGCTGGGATTTGAACTCTAGTCTCTGACTCCAAATGCATACTCCTTCCATTGTGTTATGTAGCCACTTAGTTTTGTAACAGTGTTGAAAATTATTCAGCTAATTGAAATCTCTATCAGCTTTTTACAGGCCTTTTTTCTCTCATTTTCTTCTCAGTGGAAAAAGGTAGTAGTTGGTTGCCAACCCGAAGATTGTATTTCCACCTGCCACACAATCTACCTAATCTTCTCTGTTTTGTAAGTTTAATAGCTAAGAATTACTAATTTTGCTTCACAGTTTTAATTTTTTTTCAGAAATCAGATTTTTCTCAAATCTTTTCCATTTCCATCAAGGACAGCTCATCAGATTTTTAGAAAGCTGAAGAAGAGCTGAATTTCTTATCAGTATTACATTATGCCTCCCATGCATCATATATTTCTTGATCTCAGAATTATTTAAGATTAAAGAAAAGATCAGTTTAAAGAAAAGATTAAAGTTAAGATTAAAGTTTAAAGAAAAGATCATTGCTGAGACTGGTCCTAGAAAGGGGCTGGCATGTAGTAGCAGATTTTTTGTTGAATATTATAACTGGAACTTGAATAACCTATTTGGAAACAGTATTTGTTTTCACAGCAACACAAAACTGTGTGTGTGTGTGTGTGTGTGTGTGTGTGTGTAAAACAAGAGGTCCAACTTCCAGTCCCAGTCTTACTGCTTACTCACTCTGATCATGGGCTATTTACTTTCTTCCCTCATCTATCAAATGAGACATGCGAATCAGAGGTGTTAGTAACTTGCTTAAGATCTTATAGGATTATTGTGAATATCAAATAAAGCAAAGTATGGGAAAATGTAGGTAAAACTATGAAGTATACACTCAGTCCTTTTCACAATGCTTGGGAATTTAAAAAAGTAAGAAAGGCTTTACTTGAGATAGTGCAGTGTTGTGTTCATAAGTGAAAACAGTGTTTCAGGCAAGGGAGTTGGAGGGCTTGACAGTAGATCCACCATATCAGATACTGGTCAATTTTTTAACGAGCCTCAGTAAAGGATACTCGAGGGATAAATTGTCCTGAGGAGATTGAGTTCATTCTCTCTGCTGAAGATGTGCTGATTTCTGTTTTGGAAAACCTTCCACGAGATGAATCATTTGTTTTTATAGTCACTGTGTTCCAGTGGCCCGTCTTTTTATGGCACTGACTCCGTGAATTGGCGTCCAAAGTCATAGTTAAGATATTGCAGCGTTTTGCAATTGCTGTATGTTGTTTCTGTGTTGATCTTAGAAATATCACTGAAGGAACAGTGACACTTAGGAAAATGAAGAAACAGCATAATGTATTGTTTCCCCCCAGGGTTTCTACTGTAAAGCCTATCCTGAAGGGGCTAAACGACCTTTTAAGGGTTTCCAAAGGATGTAACTTCCGCTAGTGGCTCAGATGGTGGGACTGCCTGCACTGTGGGAGACGGGTTCTATCCCTGGGTCGGGAAGTTTCCTCTGGCGAAGGGGATGGCAACCCACTCCAGTATTCTTGCCTGGGAAATCCCATGACAGAGGAGCCTGGTGGGCTCCTGGGGTCACAAAGAGTTGGACACAACTGAGCAACTAATACAAAAGAAGTAGATAAATGAATAATTCAAAATTTGACCCAGCAAAAATACCAGGATATTTAATTATAGTTCTTCTGTTGTTGTAGTTTATACTACTCTTCCTTTTCAGAATTATCATTTGATAATTTTTTTATGTAGAAGTTTAAAAGGATGACTTGGAAGAGTGCTTTCCATTTAGAATAAAACAGGTTTGATATCCTCAGGTTTTAACAGCAGAACGTCATGTGGCATGGAATTAATACTTTGACATTTGAGACCAACACTAGGTGTGCCTATATCATGGCCTTTTTTTACCCTTTGTTTAGATTGTTAGAATTGATAGCGCTTTAGATTGGAATAAAAATGAGGCCACACAGCCCAGAGAAGTGATGCCCTTCCTCCCCAAGGTCAGACTAGTTGGTAGCAGACCTGGCAATGGAAGGGGCTCACTCGACAGATTGTTATTTTTTTCACCTGCTCTGACCTTTCCCTGAAAACCCTCTGGCCAGAGCACAAGAGCCGCTCCTTTTCCCATCTGTGCCCAGGGCAGAGTGCGCTTGCTCTGTCGACTCTGTAGCTGATCCGAATGCCTTTTGGAGCAGAGGGCTGTGGAATTCAGTTCCAGCAGAGCTGTAGTGAGAAGCAGTTTCTGCAAGAGGGAACCCCGCCTGACTGTTCTTTCCGAATCATTCCAAAGGAGCAGAGGTTTCGGTGCCAGAACTACTCACCGTGTTTCTGAGTTTGCCCTTGTTCTCTGTTACTTAGCCTCTGTCTCCTTTTGTTCTAGGAGCTTTTCTGTTTCCTCCTTTGATCCTTGCTGAGAAGTGTCCCCTCAGGTTTTTCTGTGTAGGCTGCTTCTGTCTCCTTGCTCAAATTCTTCTCATAGTTAAAGAGCATATAAACGAAGCTGCTTGGTGGGGTGGAGGAGGCCCTTAGCCCGTGTGCCTCCGTCGTGTCTGGCCGAGAGCAGTGCACAAACGTGTGTGAACTGACTGAGTCACGTTTCAGAATTAGCAGAGGATGTTCTTGGTCTTTGATGTTCTGAAACAAAACCTTAAAAGGACCATACAGATGAGTATTAATGCTTTCCATGCCATTAACATGAAAGAGCTGGTGGCCTCCGACACTGTGCGTGTGTAGCAGCCCACAGTGTCCAGCCCGTGCTGTGGGGAAGCGTCAGCAGCCAGCGGCTTACCTTGGTTGTCCCTTACGGTGAAGTTGGGGTTGTTCGCAGCCTCAGGAGCCAGGCTGTAGTAGAAGTGCTGGCCACTGCGCGGGTCGTCCTGGTCCACGGCGCTCACGGTCTGGATCAGCTGGGGGGGGGGGGAGGCGTGAAACCAGGCGAATCAGAGTCAAGGGCTCCCAGGGAAGACGAGACCCCAGGCTGCGTTACCTAGTGAGGCCATCCTGAAGCTTCCCTCGCAGTCTCTGTACCATCCCCCAGCCCAGACTGAAGTTTGGTTTATTGTCGGGGCTTCCCAGGTGGCTTAGTGGTAAACAGTCCTCCTGCCAACAGGGACAACTCAGGAGAGGCAGGTTTGATCCCTGGGTTAGGAGGATCCCCTGGAGAAGGAAACAGCAGCCCACTCCAGTATTCCTGCCTGGGAAATCCCATGGGCAGAGGAGCCTGGTGGGCTGCAGTTCATGGAGTCGCAGAGTCAGACACGACCGAGCTACTGAGCATGCACACATGTGTTAACAGGCCCAGGGTAGGGTCACCGAAAACATGCTTTGGACGTTAGATGTTGAAATAGCACGATATCCTCCCTCCGCATCTGGCCCGTTTTAGGCGGTCAGGACAGAAGGCTGAATGAAAGGGCTCGGGGGTGCCGCAGGGTCCTGCTTGTTTCCCGCTGTTTGTCCTCTTCCCTCACCGTCTTAGCCTCACCTTTGGGTTCATAGTTCACGGTCAGATTGCTGTCTTTGAGAGTGAAAGTGAAAGTGTTAGTTGCTCAGTCATGTCCGATTCTTTGCAACCCCATGGACTGTATAACTTGCCAGGCTCCTCTGCCCATGGAATTCTCCAGGCAAGAATGCTGGAGCGGGTAGCCATTCCCTCCTCCAGGGGATCTTCCCAACTCAGGGATCAAACCCGGGTCTCCTGCACTGGCAGTTGGATTCTTTACCACCTGATCCACCAGGGAAGCTTTGAGAGGCCTCTGCTTAAAAATGAGCAATACCCAGTGGGCAGTAAACAGACATTTCATCAATGATTTCAAGTTAGTGGAAAACAGATGTGAGAGAATGGGTCACAGAGCAGTCACTCTGTTGGCAGGAAGGGGAGCTAGATAGAGTGCAGAGCACAAGACCCCCAGGGTAGGGTTACAGACCAGACAGGAGCCGGAAGCAGAGTTTGGGGCCCAGGAGAGCAGGAGGTGGGGTGGCAGCTTCTTGAGCTCTCTGGCCAGAATTTTGCCTTTTCCATCTGCTCTTCAAAGTACTAAGTTGCTAGGAAGGTTTTGCCGAGCAGGATGGAAAAGTTGGTGAGAAAGCAGTGTGAGGTGCACAGCTGAGACGCTGGCTGGCAGACGAGGGGATGGACGAGGTGCTGAAGGGGCGGTCTGCCCGAGTGCGCTCTCCCGCCAGCCGCAGCACAGACTGCCCACCCCTCCCGGGCCTGGCTCTGGACTCGACACCCCTGCTGTCAGCAGGTAGAAGGTGGGGCTCTAAAGGTCAGCAGGGGGCTGAGGGGGGCTGGCTTAGTCTCTCTTCATCTGTAAATGAAGGGCGGTACAGATACTCTTAAACAGTGTCCCGAAGAGTGAGTAAGCAAGGGGGAGGCTTCTAGCAAGGGGCTCGCTGTAAACACAGTGCTGCTCAGACCCCCTTCAGGGGGGGACTTGATGCCTTCACCTGTCAGTCTCTCTGGGGATGGCCTCAGTTGGTGAGACCCACCTCCCCACAGTCTCCACATCCTTCCAGAACAATCTGTGTCCAGCGACTGATACGATGTATATAGGCCTGGCCACCCCGTCTCGACTCAGGAAAGCCCTCGTTCTCAGCGGCGGTGGAGTCCCCAAGAGCTGTCCGTGGTCTGCACCACTGCTGGGCGTCTCTTGTCCAGCCCTGCAGAAGCTCTTCTCTGGCACAGGAGTTGGTCCCAGGGGCATTCCTTACTCACTACTAAACATCTTAGACCAGCACTCCAGCTCAGCTCACGCCTCCTGGTGAACTCAGCTGGCACGGGGCTCTGCAGTCTGAGGTTGGGAGGATGGAACTGCCGTGCTGGCGAGGGATCGGGAGAGCCCTGGAGAGGACTGTGGCCCAGCAGCCCAGCCCGGGGTCCCTGCTACTCCCACTCAAGGATCACCCCACTGCCCACCCCTCCCAGACAGATCCTGTATCCTCTGTCTTGTCAGATGTGTGAAGACATGTTTCTTCATGAATGTTATAAACAGGTGAGTATGTATAACTTGGCAAATAGTCCTTTCAGCACATCTGGCCTGTGAAGTTGTTTATATGTATGGTGGAGACCTGGGGCATGTGACTGCTTGGTTACAGGGCTCTCAGGAACGTGAGTGAAGACACGACTTCGGAGCACCTGCGCCTGCTCTCCTGGGCCTGCTCTCCCAGGCCTCCCCTCTCCCGGGCCTGCTCTCCCGGGCCTCCCCTTTCCTGGGCCTCCTGTCTCTTGGTCCTCCCCTCTCCTGCGCCTGCTCTCCTGGGCTTCCCCTCTCCCGAGCCTGCTCTCCCGGGCCTCCCCTCTCCCGGGGCCTGCCCTCTCCCGGGCCTGCTCTCCCGGGCCTCCCCTTTCCTGGGCCTCCTGTCTCCTGGTTCTCCCCTCTCCTGTGCCTGCTCTCCCGGGCCTCCCCTCTCCTGGGCCTCCTGTCTCCTGGTTCTCCCCTCTCCTGTGCCTGCTCTCCCGGGCCTCCCCTCTCCTGGGCCTGCTCTGCCAGGCCTCCCCTCTCCCGGGCTTCCCCTGTCTGGGCAGGTTCAAGTCCATCCCCAGCGTCACTTCCCATCCCAGAGTCTGCTCGGCAGGCCTCCTGCTGCCCTCGGCCTGCACCTCAAATGTCCTCAGGTTTCCCTCTGGGGTTTCTTCGCTGAGGAAAGCACGTGTCCCAGCTCGGCAGATGCAGAGCTGACGACAGTGTCCGACAAATCTTACACAAGAAGGCTGAGTCTTCATAGACCAGACGTACCTACTGAGCTGTGTGCTTTTGAAAATCTTCAAAACATGTCCCAGAGCCAAAATCAAAGGGTTGGATTTATGTTTCTTGGGCTAAAGATGATGAACATGACATTACGATAGACCTGTGGCTCTCAACCTGAAGCTGAAGTCACACATAAAAGTTTATGTGCTTCAAAGGGCTGTGTAATAGAGCAGGAGCGGATGGACACAGAGACGCAGACGTGGGGAGCAGTGTCTGTGTGCCACAAAGACAGGAGCGGTGACAGCACGGTGGGATCCTGCCGTTCGTTTCCAGCAGGATGGGAATGCTTCACTGGGGGGTGTGAGGGGTTCAATGTACTGTGTTCCTGTCACTCTATATTACAGAATAAAAACCATCCTCTTGTCATATTGTAATATAAAGTGTGTCATATTATAGTAATAATCCTGTATAAAAAAAGTTTTTGTGTTGTATTTCTATAATATATATGTAACATCATATTATAATATAAAAATCATTAAAATGCAGGCCCAAATCTCAACTACCTTAGGACAGTAGCTCTGGCTGTTTTTCTATCCTGCCTTCCAATTTTTGTTCACATGCAGATACAACTTTATGTAACTTAAAGCATGTACATGTAGTTTCTTTGCCTCCTTTCTTATATAATAACATGGATCATTTCTTATGCTTTAAGTGTTAATTGTAACTTTTATTAGCTGCATAATATTTCAAGTTTCTCTAGACTAGAAATGCAATAGATATGAAGGTAGATTTATCTTAGTCTTGTTGAAAAAAGTGTAGGCGTGCTATAGACCATTGCACTGGGTTTCAGGCTTGAATGGATGAGATAACTTACATGAGAATGACTGCAGGACACATTTCCCCACTCCCCCACCCGGGACAAGGGAGTCACTTTTTCTTTGCATGGAAAGAACAGTAAAGATGCATTGAGGCAATCTTTGCTGAGTTCAGGCAGCTAGTGTAAGTTCTGGTTGTATAGACAGAGTCTCCGTGTGCAGCGAGATGCTGCAGGATAGGGAGACAGCAATGGAAGCAGAAACTGCTTTACAGTCGAGAAGCCTGAATCACCAAACCATGACTGCTTGCCGTCTGCACCCAGCGCCTGGACCAGGATCCTCAGGGTCACAAAATAAGCTCGGGGGAAGTAAGGCAGGACTGTTAGGGAGTCTGTTGGGTCAAAGGTAGAGAGGACAACATCTTACAAAAGTAGGACAGAAGAGGAGAGACGGCATGTGATCTGAGGTGTGGCAGGTTGGGTATGGTGTGGGCACCGGCCTAACACATGTGTTAATCACATGGCCATTCCAGACACAGTTCAGTTGCACTACTTGGATTTAGTCAAACAAATATTCACTTAGGTTTTAAGCAGACTTAAAAAAAAATAGGCAAATGTATACGAAGATGATGGAGCTAAAGCCGTTTCAAATAAGTAGACATTTGTTCCTTAAGATGCCTTTCCTCTCAAAACTTCATGTGACGTGAGGGAGCTGAGAACACGGGTGTTCTAGCTGAGGGAGGAGAGCGTAGGCAGGAATAGGGCAGACAGTCTCTCGGGGATGCCTGCTGTCAGAAGAAAGGGGAGGCAGGAAGATTAACAAACGAGCCTGCCTTCTGCAGATGTTTTCAAGGATTAGTGCTAAGCGGAGAAAAAGGCTCTTTTTTTTTCCCTTGATATTCATGGCCCCTTGTTTCCAGGGTCCAAAGCACATGTAATTGTAATTGGTTCTGTATGGTTCAGTTACAAGCTGGGTAAACTACCTTGATTCACAGCCTTTTTTAGATCATAAAATGTAACAGGTTCTGAATAGTTGTCTTAGCAAATAAGTGGTTGTAACATGATAAACAGAAGTCGGGGACTCTTTTACAAACTGTTAGCTCTGGAGTCTAAATTTCTTTGATGGCCAATCTGGTTATCTGTAACTGTCATTTCCACCTGTTGGGAGGTTAACCACAGTGCATAGACTGCTTACCTGTCCTGCCTTGGCATTCTCACAGACAAAAGCTTCATAGAATCGGGGGAACTCTGGGGCATTGTCATTCACATCTAAGACTTTGATTGTGACAGGAACACTTCCAACCTGGGATGGATTGTCTAAAGGAAGCAAACACAATACAGATAAACAAAAACCAAAGGTGAGAAGGATTCAGAAACAAAAGGAAGCAGCTCTTTGTTGGAGCAGGTATTTGTTTCCTCATTCTGGTTTTTGAAGGAATGGATAAAGACCATGGAACTATCAACGCCAGGTTGCAGGGGGTTCCTGTTAAGAGTGTGGCTGGAACATGAGTGTGGGCAGGCAAGGTGTGTGCTGGAGAGAGTGTGTGACGTCAGGAGGGTGAGGGGCAGGGTGAGACTCCCCGGGGAGCAGGCATCACAAATGAATCTTAAAAAGAGGTTTTGAGTTTCTCACTTGGCTTAGACTTCAGGTTCTAGATGAAGTCAGGTTGTGGCCTGGGCAGTGAGAGTGGCACCAGCAAGCTCCTTGCCCGGGAAACAGTACCCAGCATCTCAGCATCAAGCTGCCATATCCTTGAGCTATGTCTGTGAGCATCTGTGCTTTTTATTTTGTGCATCTGCTAGCAAGATGTGTCCTAATGGAACTGCTTCTTCACGTTACACCATTTTGGCCTACAAAAGGTTTCATAGGAACCCTGTACTTTGAGATAGTGGGGAAAACCTGTAATCAGTTCTTTGAATTACTGTTTCAGAAGATTTTAAGTTATTCATGGGATTACAGGTAACACTGCACATTTATTTCTGCTTTTGGAGTCAGGAGATGTTACCGGATCAGACACACACCAGATCCACATTTTTGGCTGAGACAGAAGCTACTCACAGTCACTCATGGGGAACAACACCCTTTTGGTCTCTCTCCTGTTTGACACCACCACACACGGAATCTCACTACCGGCTGCCGACCCTCCTGTCTGTTTGTCTGGCCACCGTCCCAGGAAGACAACACAGAAGTTTCCCAGGAAGACAAGACTGTGCTTAGTGAATAATTTTATTAAATCTCAAAATGTCCTGTTCTTCCGGTTCATTTTTTCCCTCAAGAATATTTATGCCTTGTTTTTCCCCTAAATATTTATATTGCTTGGTTAGCAAGAGTGCTGACATGTTAAAATTTTCCCATTATAACTTGTGCTGGTGCTTGTTTATAGAGGCAATGATGAAAATTTCAGAAAAACAAGAATAAGTGTGACCCATGGTCCTACCGCCAGAGATATCCATTATATATTACGTATAATGTTACATGTGTCCAATCTCTCTCTCTCTCTCTCTCTCTCTCTCTCTCTCACTCTCATACACACACACATACACACTCTGAAATTAAGCAAAATAAAAATGTTTGATTTAGACTTTAACATTTTAGGGCAAGATTTTCCTAAAGTCATTGAAATGTACTTTGAAATTAATTGGTACATTAATTGATATTAATGTAAACAGGATTTTACTGTATGTACCATAATTTATGTAGTCAAACTCCTGTTATTAGACTTTTAGGTATTTCCCCTCTTCTAAAATAACAATGTAGTGGGCATTTTGGTACATAAATCTTTGTTAATATTATGAATGTTTCCTTAAGATACTTATTAGAAGTATAATTATTGAGAAGAAGACTATGAATGTATTGGGGAATCTGAATACAAAAGATTTCTTACCAAATTGCCCTCATGAATGACTGTACATACTTCTGCCAACACATTAGGATTTATAATTTCCCTTAATATTCCTCATCACTCGGTGTTGTGGGGAAAAAATGGAATGTAGTAGTATGTAATTCGTGTTGAGATTATAATAAATATGTTAATTTAGTTTATTAATTTTCAATTTTATTTTCAGGTTTATGTTAACAGTCTGTTGTAAGATGTTTCAAATTCTTACATGCATGTATATGTATGTGCATAGTAAGGGTGATATGCTATAAATGCTTCCTTTCATCTGATAATAATATACTATTTGCATTCCTAATCTTATTAAAGACTGAAAGCCTCTTAGATTTCTCAAGAATTGTCCCTTTTCTTCATACAGAAGTGTAGCTCTTTAGTTCAAGGATGCTGTTTTTTGTGCTGCTTTTGCACGATATGTTTGTTTTTATCTCTAGCACAGGACTAGGTATATAGAGATCCTCAGTAAGTATTTGAACTAAATACATTAATTCACTTGTGTAAACCAGGATTTCCGTTTGTTCCCATAAAGAATATAATTTTTGTTCCAACAGGCTCTGGAAACTTTCACTTTCTACAATGCTTATGTTTTGTCACTATATGGAGACCAGTGTATTGTTTCACTTACTCATTTCCATTGCAAGGACAGTGATATTATGCCAAGAAAACTCCTCCCGGTCAAGAGGTCTTGCAGTCATTAGGGCACCTGTTGTAATGTCCACATAGAAGAATCTTCCAGGATCACTGCTTCTGTCAATAGAATATCTGTAGAAATGGAGATTAAATGCATTGTCTTTTTGGATAAGCATGTTTATTCATACTTATAGCATATTACATGAGAGAACTGAGTGCATACTCTGTGAAACAGGACTTGCTCTGAATTATAGGCCCTAGGAAGACTGCATTCCTGTTTTATCATGTCCAAAATCACTGCCTTCCCCCCTAAAAAAACCCCCAAACACACAACAACAACAACAAATTGTTACTGCTTTAATTTCCTCATTCAGAAAATGAAATAAAACGGGGTGCCAAAGCCTTAGGACAGTTTTATGCTTTCTAAAGATCAGTCTCAGCTATTTTTAAAGCTTAAAACTCTTCTAAGACTTCAGGGAAACTCTGAATATCAACCCCTGCATGTCTTTTTTCAAAACAACATTTATTCAAATAAGTCCAGAAATGCTAAATTGGAACTGGAAAAGATAGAGTTGTGTGGTTCTGGTTCCTATAAGCAGTATCACCTATTGAAAAGGAAAAATTTGAATCAGGTCCTTTGTAACACACTAATGACTGACTTGTTGGCAGACACAATTATGTTATTTGCTAGATGGGGTGTCCTTATCTAGGGAACGTTTTTAGCAAGATGGACCCGGGTCTGTCTAGGTTGTTTATTGTAAATAGCCTAGAATTTATGGGGCACAGCTTGCTTGAAAATGTCATGTGAGTAGTGTAGTTAATGTAGTATAAAAAGCAGATGTTACATAACTAAAACAGCTTTTAGGCAGTGCCCTTCATTCATTGCTTACACCTTTCATATTCTGTGTGGACCAACATGCATCCTTATATAGAAAATAGAAGGGTATTTACAGGTACCTACACCTAATGGTTCTAGACCTCTCTAAGGAAAGAGAAGTGTTGCAAGTGTTAGTTTGATTTTTTGCGACCCCATGGACTGTAGCCCACCAAGCTCCTCTGTCCATGGGATTTCCCAGGCAAGAATACTGGAGAGGGTTGCCATTTCCTCCTCCAGGACATCTTCCCGACCCAGGGATAGAACCCGACTCTGTCCCTGCAAGCAGATTCTTTACCACTGAGACACAGGGAGCCCGAGGAAGGAGTGCTCAGGTCATGTTTTGCTGCGTTTGTATCCTTTGAGCCCTTCTCACCTTGACCCTGGGTAAGGGCTGTAACTCCTGCTGAGTCTGAGTTGGATGCCTGACCCTTTGTGTTTCACCTGAGTTGTCTTACCTGGCCCCCATCTTAGCAGAGTCGCTAGGTGTGGAGGGAGGCTTAGGAATCTGTGTGTTTAAAAGCCTTCTAAGGGATTTTGATGTGTAGCCATGACTGAGAACCATTCTTGAGAATCTTATGTTGTCCTTGGTAATGGGCAGTAGTTATGATTGCTGCCATCTGCAGAATACCAGGCATTTTATAGCTCTTTTTAAATTCTGCAGCATCTCTAAGATAGATAGCTAATAATTTTCAGGTAATAGTAAGATCTGAAGTGTACATGTTTATGTATAAACTATTATATATATTATAGATTATAAATTATATATAAACACTGGAGAAGGGAACGGCAACCCACTCCAATATTCTTGCTTGGAGAATTCCACGGACAGAGGAGCTTGGGCTGTAGTCCACGGGGCCACAAAGAGTCGGACATGGCTGAGTGACTAACACTACAGAAGACACATATATACATATATAAGCTATTGTAATATACTGGGTTCAAAATTCCATTTAAAGTTGCCAGTGGGTATGAACGAACCTCTTTACAAAACAGAGGTAGAGTCGCAAATGGAGAAAACAAACAGTGGTTACCAAGGGGGAAGGCGGGGAGGGATGAATTGGGAGACCGAGATTGCCGTGCACACCGCTGCATATAAAACAGGTAACTAATAGGGCCTGTGTGTAGCTCAGGGCGCTCTGCTCAGTATTCTGCAGTGCCCCATATGAGAAGAGAGTCTAAGAGGGTGGATCTGGGTATAACTGATTCAGTTTGCTGCACCGCAGAAAGTAATACAACACTGTAGATCAATTATAACCCAATAAAAATTAATTTTAAAAAAGTTGCCATCGGAATTCCCTGGCAGTCCAGTGGTTAAGGACTCCAGGCTCTCTCACTGCTGAGGGCCTGAGTTCAATCACAAGCCAAGTGGCATAGCCTCCCAAAGAAGTTGCCAGCAATTGCAGTCTGTATCTTAAAGTTGTTGAAACTGGGAAATACTGCCCTTTTGATGGCAGTAAGCAATTTCTTTAGTCTAATGCATTGTTTTTCAAACTGAAATCAGTATGGTGGGTTATGACTACTGTAGAAAGAAAATGAAATGGATATAGGCATGCCAGACTTATTTACAGTAAGGGTAAATATTGATGGCAAAATGTTTGTTTCAACATATAGAAATACATACATATAGTTTATACCTGTATATATGGGGCTTCCTAGGTGGCACTCATGGTAAAGAATCTGCCAGTGCAGGAGATGTAAGAGACATGAGTTGATCCCGGGGTTGGGAACCTGGAGGAGGGCATGGCAACCCACTCCAGTATTCTTGCCTGGAGAATCCCATGGACAGAGGAGCCTGGCAGGTTAGACTGCATGGGGTTGCAAAGAGCTGGACATAACTGAAGTGATTTAGCATGCACGTACCTGTATATATATTATTTGGTAAATTATTTTGTTTCAAGTATGCATTTTTTTCCTGTTGAGATTCAGGATGACTGTTCAGAGAACTGGGAATTAAAAGGTAAGGTGATCACTAAAGGCTGGAGAAGTTGGAATCATTTCAGTTGAAACCCTCCAAGTGTTGGGAAATTTAAATATATAATGCTTTTGCTTCTGACCGTGTTACTATAACCTGGCCCTGCTCTAAACATCTTATATATATTGTCTCATGTCATCTCCACAAAAACCTTGTGAGGTAGGTATTGCTATTATCCCCGTTTTACAAGTGAGAAGCTGAAGCATGAAAAGGTTAAGACGTTTGTCCAAGGTTGCACAGCTGAGAATCAAACCTAGTAGTATGAAATGTGTGGGATCGCTTAAGGAAAGAAAGCCTTCTCTGTTTTTGAAGATAGATGGGGCCATGGTGACCAACAATTGACTATTTAATAAAGAATAAACACATGCCTAGCAAGTTCATTTAAAATTAATTGGAACATTTTTTCTTTTTTCTGGATGTTATTAGTGATTTTAAGTCTCCTGGCTCTTTGAAGATTTGAATTTATCTTAGAAAAAAAAGCACCGGTTGGCTCCTGACAGTCTTCTTCCAGCAGGTTCCGAGAGGGGCCTGCACTGAGGCACTGATGGCCTTCATTACTCGAGTGGGACCCTGGGCCGATTTTCAGGAGCCAGGAGAACAAATTTAACGGTGGAGATACAGAGGGAAAATGAGGGAATTGGGAGACGCTGGCGAATCATGTGGGTGGCTTTCCTTTCGCTAACTAGAGTACTCTCAGCTGCTGTGGGCCGAACAGGCGTGACATATCCACACACCACTGCCCTCAGCGAACAGTGCTGGCGTTCACTGACCTCCCTGCTTGTTTACTTGGCTGAGGACATGCTCTGAATTTAGGAGCGAGTTGAAAGCAGAGTTTCATGGACAGGATCCCCAAATCCACACACACGCTCCAGGAAAGCACAGAGGGGCTGGCTGTCTGCATACCAGCAAGAAGCCTGTTTCAATTGCTGAATGGTTCCTGCTTGCTAGAAATTCCTCAAGCATTTATTAAAAATTTAGGTGATCCAGACATATTTTTCATGTATATATAACTAAATCTGGAGACTTGGTTTTGGGCTTTATTAGTAATTGATAACCAGCTTATATGCCTCAACACACCATAAAGTTTCTAGAAATGAGATTATAAAAGTCCTGATAATGTCATATGCATGCCTATGGCTGATTAATGTTGAAGTTTGGCAGAAACCAACAAAATTCTGTAAAGCAATTATCCTTCAATTAAAAATTAAAAAAAAGTTCTGATAATCTTTTTAAAAAGTTAAATGACCTTTTATCATAGCATTTTAAACCTAGGTGATGTGTTAATTTTTGGTGATTTAATATGTATTTTATTTTTAGGAATATGAACCTCATTTATTAGTAATTAAAATGTAGAAGATAAATTTAATAGACAAGCAGCATATAACATATTCGAAGTATTTTAGAAGAAAATAACTTTTATAGGAAAAAAGGAGAAAATGAGCAATTTGAGGAAAGATAACAGAAAAGTAATTTCCAGATGGGTTTATTAAGTGATAGCCAGAGATCTGACTTCTAGGTGCCTTCTCTCTTGAGAATCCAGGATCCCCAGTGTTCTGCTTGGGCCCAGGGACCATACTTCATTCTTGTGGGACAGTACAGAGCCAGAGACTCTTATCGGGCTGTGTGAATTCTGATCTTTCTTTCCAACCAAAATGCAGAGAGACCATTATCTCAAGTTCTGATAAGTGGTATACTATTTCACCTCTGTCCTGGGATGTTAGTCTTCAGCAGACCTGTGGCTGTTGCCTTGTTCCTGCCAATCTCTCTCTCTCAAGGCCTAAAGTCAGGACTTCCTTGGCTATCCAGTCTTAAGACTCCCCCACAGGAAGAACAGGTTCGATCCCTGGTCGGGGGAGCTAAGACTCCCGCAGGCCACATGGCGCGGCCAAAAAGAATAAAGACCTAGAGTCTTGCCCTAGAATAAGCCCCATGGTCCCTGCTGCAGGCCTCCTGCCTGTTCACTCTTAAGATTCCTCCTGACCGGGATCTATTGGACTAGACAGGCACCCCACTATATTCTGATGCCAGCTGTCCTGCCTTGCTGGCCAACTGATGGTTTTCAACAGCTTATCACCTGAAGCAGCAGTTTCTGTGAGCCAGACAGGTTTCCTCATGCTGTGTACCTCTCCTGCTCCATGCCTGCGGTGCATCTAGGCCTGCTGGTATTTCTCTTTCCTTCCTAGATATGTGTTGAGATAATGACCTTAGTCCTAGATAATGCATGTTCATGCTAGGGGTGTGTGTGTGAATTTACTTAGTTTCTGACTGCTTTCTGTCTCTTGCTTGTCACTTAGTAGAGTGACTCTTGACAAAACCAAATTTCCAGTGCTTACAACTCAAGAGTCTATAGCGTCAGAATCTAGAAAAAAAGATGTGGAATTAGCCACTGAATATTCTCATTGACTTTTAGAAACAGGATTTGAGTTTTTCAAACTGTTCTTGTTTTATTTAAAGTATTTTCCCTCCATAAAGTTTTATTCTGTAAAGTTTTCCCCACAGTTCTCCAATATGAGTAGATCAATCAGAAGATACACATGTATTCTTGGCTTTTGATATAAATGTAGTATTTGTATTATAAATATAAATTTATAATAGAATTGTTTTCATTTATGTTGTTTTTTGGGGGACAATATGATTTAACTAACTTCTTCCCATCTTATAAGCTTAAAAAGCTTAAGGTTGAACTATCACTTCTATAAAATTGTCATAACTTAAAAAGATTCATTGCCTACTAAAAATCAAGTATCAAAATTGAAACAAGATTATTTTAGCCATTTTAATGCCTGAAATGTAAAATGTTTGCTACTTGATTAGAGGAAGCAGATTTCCCCCACTAAGGTTAATCTCAGGAGAGAATAGTTTTTATTAAATTGCAGAAGTACATTTTCCTTCAAAATGGCACCTGGTGAGGGAAGTAAGCAGCTGACAGAAAAGGCTTCTGACAAATTGAGGTGTGTTTAAACTGTGTGCTCTGTGCTAACGCCTGAGATCCATTTGTGTGGCTTTCGACAATTAACGTGACAGATGGCCTCAAACAGCCTGGGAACCCTGATCTTTTGTGTCAAGCTTCAGAGGCTTGGCAGTTGCTCTGGAAGGTTGAAGTGTCAACCTGTTCACCAGCTGTTTGCTCTTTGGTTCCAGGGTCGATAGGAAGTGGCCATGGTTATAAGAGGAGATGTTTGCCTGCTCTTGAAGAGGAAGCATCTAAGTTGGAATCTTGATGTTCAAAACATACTTTGGAGAGGCTGATTTGTGGGTTTGCAATAGAAAGTCAGTCTACATGGCATCAAAGCTATTGACAATGGTGGGAGTTTTCTATGTCTGTTCTTTCTATAATATATGGAAATATGTGTTTATATGTGTTATTTTTTCCATCTTTAAAGTAAAAATGTCAAAGGTTCACAAAAATTAAGAGTGTATAATAATCACTGTTATATTCACCACTAAGATTCAACAGTTTTTAATGCTTTGATATCTGTGTGTCTATTTGACAACATCTGGGGTCTTTTTTGGGGGCATCCCTGATGGCTTAGTGGGTAAAGAATCCGCTTGCAGTGCAGGGGACAAAGGAGATGTAGGTTTGATCCCTAAGTTGGGAAGATCCCCTGGCGCCTAAGGGAGTGGCAGTGCACTCCAGCATTCTTGCCTGGAGAATCCCATGGACAGGGGAGCCTGGTGGGCTACAGTCTGTGGGGTGTGCAAAGAGTCAGATTTTATAGAATGTTACAACTCAGGGAATGCTATGGTTTTTTTTAGGAGGTAGAGGCCAGAGATGCTGCTGAACATTGTAAAATGTATCATACCCCCCTCAACAAAAGATTATCTACCCCCAAATATCAGTACGGCCGCGACTGAGCACTGAGGGGTGTGCGTATGTGTGCTGCCGAACCAGGTGACAGGGAGTTGTGGTCATAATGACACTTCACTTCTAAATAGTATGAAAAGTCCATGTCACTTAAGAAAAAGAAAGCATTTAAAGAAAGAGTCTCCAGGGATGGAAGAAGCAAAAAGAAAAAGTGCTAGAAAATTAGAATCAAGGGCAGATTCTCGGAAATAAGGCAGAGGTGAAATGTGTGAAAAAACCTGATTGAGTTGTTGGTCACATCTGGGTCCTTGGCAGAAACGATCTGTATGGTTGTCCCAATCGCCACATCTTCAGGTACCTCCACAAAATAAAAGCCAGGGTCGAACACAGGGGGCTCATCCACGTCTTCCACACTGATGTGCACCGTGGTTGTGTCTTGAAATGGGCCCAGGTTCAGAAATCGCATCTCGAGGTGAGGGTTGGCTCCCTCCACTTTTAAGGTATAGCTTTTCTTTCTCTCAAAACTCAGGGGCTGAAAAGTAAGGACAGGAAGACTGCTTAGTTAGGAGCATATATGTCAAGGTTCTAAAGGATGGATGATACTGATAGCTGGCGGGTAGTTTCCCAAATGCATTAAAATGGTGGAAAAGAGACAACAGGAAAAATAAGCAGAAATTTTCCTTTTGTTCCATGGTTCTTGCCGTTTCAACAATTTGGGTAAAGAAAGTAAAGGGGATGGTAGATGCTTTAGAGATAGTAAAGCAAGCCAGTCTGCTGATGAAGAAAGCCACCGCACCCTGAGCTAGGCTGACTTTGACCTGTCTACTCTGTAATCTGCACGGTCATCGTTAGAAAGACTTGTTCATTTGAAAAGGTGTCATGATAATTAAGAGCGAGTTTGAGTTCTTTTTCAGTATATCCAAGCAACTGAGGCCTAAGCTTCTCTGTTTTCTCCCTTAAAAAATATTCTTAAGGACAGAGGCAATAGTGATCTTTTCTAAGAAACTATCAATAAACACCTCATGAAGGTTCTTAGTGCTTTGTGTCAGATCAATATTTGTGTGTTTAGTTTATCATAGACAATCTCTTTTAAAAACCTGATCCAGTGCCTCATTTTATAGTTAAAGAAACAGTCTCAGAGAGCTAGAAGACTGGCTGAAGCTGATGTGGTTGTCCGTGTCAGGGTGGAAACGCTGCTAAGGACTTTTAGATTCCTCATTCAGGGCTCATCCACAAAAGTTTAACTTTGTCTAATAAAATCCCATGTCATGACATATAGCTTTTTTGGTGTTTCCTTTTTTGGATCTCTCTCTCTACCTTCAGAATATTTTATGTCAAAATAAATACAGCACTTCAAGGCACAAAGTAGACTTGAATGCTATCTCTTTAAGAATAATCCATTTATGTTTTTTTTTAAACTGACAAAAATGTATAAAAGTTTTAGGCAACACCTTAAAATATCATTAATAATTTTAAGAATCAGGGAAATTCAATTCTATACAATAATTGCAGAGGATAGGAAAGCAGTTCCTAATGCTGAAAAGTCACATGTCAGCTTACATGGTAACTTTGCCATTTTTTTTTTCATAAAATATGCTTTATGTCAGCACATTTCATGTTAGAAAGAGGCAAGTGTCTATTTAAGCAACTAGTTTGCTTTTGAGAAACAAACAGCAGGAGGAATTGCTTTAACTAAATTTATTATTTTCAAATTCTAACAAAGAGATTTTTGTTTATTTTGTTGCTGTTGTTGATTTATCACTGTTCTGTATTTACTTAGCACCATAGGTTGTACTCTTTGTTTCTTAGAGTCCACCGTTTCAATCTGAACCAAGTAGCCATTCCTACCAGCCTCCTTGCCTCCAAAATTCCTAGTCAAAAGACAGGGTTTTCATAAACAGGAAAATCTGCCACTCAGGTTTCAATAAATCTGGTTGAATAGATTTACCAATTTATTTTATTTATGCTACTCTTTTAAGTCTAAACATCTGTATTTCCTGGTAATTTATTAGTACATTGAATTCTTTCAGAATTTTATCCCTATGTAGAAGTAACCCAAAGTGGACACTGATTGTTTATGTTAGGTTTGAGCTAGGCAGAATATGTTGTTTCTGTAATTTTAAGTCATTTTTCTAATTTGGCATGAATTTCATAAAAATTAAGATGTAACTTTTTTTTTAATTTTTAAATTTTATTTATTTTTAATTGAAGGATAATTGCTTTACAGAATTTTGTTGTTCTCTGTCAGGCATCAACATGAATCAGCCATAGGTATACCTATGTCCTCTTCTCGAACCTCCCTCCCATCTCCCTCCCCAAGCAAGCTATTCTTTTTTTTTTTTTTTTTCCCATTTATTTTCATTAGTTGGAGGCTAATTACTTTACAACGTTGCAGTGGTTTTTGTCATACATTGAAATGAATTAGCCATGGATTTACATGTATTCTCCATCCCGGTCCCCCCTCCCACCTCCCTCTCCACCCCATCCCTCTGGGTCTTCCCAGTGCACCAGGCCTGAGGACTTGTCTCATGCATCCAACCTGGGCAAGATGTAACTTATATACCTTAAAATTCCCCTGTTTTAGTGTAAAGTTTTGCAAGTTTTGAGAAATGTATACAGTCATGTATGTGTTTCCTATGATAATTAAGATACAGAACAGGTCCATCACCCCGTTACCTCCTGACCAGTGCTTCTTTGTGGTCAGATCCCACCCCTGGCACCTACTGATCTATTTTGTGTCCCCATTACAAGATTGTCACATATATGCAGTCTTTCAGTATGTAGTCTTTTGAGTCTGGTTTCTTTCACTTAGCTTATGCGTTTGAGATTCATCCATGTCTTTGTGAACGTGGAGTTTTGTCCCTTTTATTGCCAAGTAGTATTCCATTATATGGGTTTCCCAGATGGTGCTAGCGGTAAAGAACCCACCTACCAATGTAGGAGATATAAGGGACTTGGGTTTGATCCCTGGGTGGGGAAGATCCCTTATATGGATGCACTGCAGCTTATCCATCCTCCAGTGGAGGATGTTGTTCTCAGTTTCTGACAGCTATGAATGGAGCCACTATGAACATTTGTAGACAGGTTTTTGTGGAAGCATAGGTTTTCATTTCACTTGGGTAAATACCTTGGAGTGGGATTGCAGGAGTACATGGTAAGTATATTTCTAACTTTATAAGAAACTTCCAAACCAATTTTCACAGTGGCTGTACCATTTTGCATTCCCACCAGGAATGTATGAGAGTTCTCATTGCTCCACATCCTTGTCGTCACTTGGTTTTGTCAGTTTTTCTGATGTTAGCATCCTAGTGGATGTGAAACGGTATCATGGTGGTTTCGATTTGCATTTCCCTAATGCCAAATGATGTTGAGCATCTTTATATCTTCTTGAAGAGTTCTTTATGTATTTTATGTTACAGTCCTTTATCAGACAGGGATTTGCAAATATTTTTTCTCAATCTGTGATTTGTTTTTTCACTCTTTTATCAGTGATGAGAAGAAACTCTTAATTTTGATAAAATCTCATGTATCACTTTTTATTTTGTAGATTGGGGTTTTGGTGTCATAGCTAAGAAATCAGGGTCACAAGGTTTTCTCCTATATTTTCTTCTAGAAATTTTGTAGTTTAGTTTTTTATACTTAGGTAGATCATCTAAATTTCTTTTTATAGGTATGAATCAAGGTTCTCTTTTTATTTTTTTTAGATACAGACATCAGGCATCCAATTTTTCTAGTACTGTCTGTTGAAAGACTTCAGTGAGTTTTTAATTATTTTTAAAGTTTCTTTGTAAATAACTTACTTGAAGTGAAGTGAAAGTTGCTCAGTCCTGTCCAGATCTTTGTGACCCCATGGACTATACAGTCCGTGGGATTCTCCAGGCCAGAATACTGGGGGGGGGGGGGGGTAGCTTTTCCCTTCTCCAGGGGATCTTCCCAACCCAGGGATCGAACCCAGGTCTCCCTCATTGTAGGCAGATTCTTTACCAGCTGAGGCACAAGGGAAGCCCAAATAAGTTACTTAGTCATCTTTATATTATTTAATATTATTGTGTCCCTTAAGTAATTTTATTGCTTAAGATTTAAAGAAAACATTGCCTTAATACCTTAAACTTTAAATTGCCCATAACTGATACATGAGTTTGACATTTCTCTCTTGAAAAGTTTTTGTACTTGTTTTTACATATTTAAATAGTAAATCAAAGAGTAGAAATGTCTGAGACCTCTAGTTAAATTCAGAAAATTTCCTAGAGTCGGAGCACATAAAAATGAAGTCATTGTATCCTTGAAAACTGAGTAATGAAAATTATGTCAGAAAATAGTAATGCAGTTCCCCTAAGCAGAATCAATCATTCCCTCTTCTTCTCCCACAACACTTTGTCTTACTTCCGTTATGGTTCTTACTATTTCATATTATAAATATTTCTTTCTGTGTTAGTTGCCTTCATGATATTAAAGGGCAAAGACAATGATATAGTCAGATTTTTATTCCCCAGGGCCTTGGGAGGGCTTGAAACCTCAAAATGTTGTTACCTTGTGTAGTGCAAAAGTTTGTCAATGTATTAACGTGTACTAGTTGAGTGGTGACATATATAGATGTTTTATTGCTGTATTTTAGTGATTGAACGATATAAATTTTTTATATTTTGACATTTTGGATATAGAGTTGCTTCTGCAGTTGATGGCACCCTGTAACTTCTGTAGGAGGCAGGATGTAGTTGTCAGCGTCTGTGCTGGCTAACCTGGGCTAAGTCATCAGTGCTGTGCCTCATTTGAGGTCTGCACGTGTTGGTGATACGTGTGTTGGATTTTGCTGTCTTCTAAAATACTTTTAGAAAGATTGTATTATGATTCAACATTGAAACAAAAGTTGTTGTGTAGGCAAAATGACATGGAAGCAACAGCAGGGAATAAATCTGATATTAGTGAAGCAAATATGCCTGTGTTTGCAAGAGCTTTCCCAGTGACTACAAACCGAGGAATAGGAAAGCATTGCGCCATTAAAATTAGTAGAGTTTTTTTTTCTTTTTAAAGTGATATCTAAAACAATGATGCGAATTCATGGCACATTAGATTTGATAAAATACAAAGTTTTCTGCTTTGTGGCCTAAGAGGGGAGTGGACTGGAAACAATTGTTTATTGAATGCTGGAAGATGGAAGACACACTGAAGCCATAAGATCATGCTCATACACAGAATAAAGAATGTTCTGAAAATTATGTAGCTCAAGTTATCTTTGAAGCACTTAAATTAAGAGACTGAAAATCAATTGACTGATTACTTGAACGCCCAAAAGACCCAAGGTACTGAGTAGAAATCAGTGTGGCTTTATGAAGATCCGATTCTGTAAATTCAACTTAATTTCTCTTTTTGAAAAAGTATGTGCTATTTTAGACAGATAATAGGCCTGAGAGAAATAAATCAAAAACAGAACTTTTGTTTCAATTTCACATGACATTATTAATGATAAAGTAGGAAGATGGGTGTGGATTGAGCATCTGAGTGACTATTGTTCCAAAAGTATAGATTGATTAG